CAGCAATGCAAACATTCAGTAAACTTGTGATCAGCTTGCAAGCTTGGGATTTGAGCATATCTTACAATTTTTTTTTCTGCATACAAACGCAGGAACAACAGGAATTCATCAGTATATGTTTCTTTAAGATTTGCTGGCTATGCAGCAACCAATACAATGACAAGCAAAACAATTTCCTCTGTGGACAATAATCTATCTTCACGAAAACTGAATCAGTCATTCAATCTGGCATGTGTGTTTCGCCATTTATCTATCTTCACATTAAGTTTATCAATGATGCAACAGAAGCATTGGGTATGGAATCTGTCACTTTGACATCAGTGACAATTCCACCAACAAATTGTTTCCTCTTTCACGCACAACTCTCTTTATAACCAGATGTTATGAGACCTCAGGCCATTGCTTCCAATTCCCCAAACAGGTCACATGTATTAAGGTGCAAAAGTGCGTTATATAACTTTAAAACTTCACAATGGTATACACGTCAATCCTGGACTCCTTGCAAATCCTTGTTTACAATGCTTGTCTTCTGCGGAACATCATTCCAAATGGTGCACATCAGATTCGTTAAGCTTCTCTGTCAGAACATTGCTTCACGGACATCTGCGGGTGGTTGTGTGTAACTTTCAGAAATGTTAATTAAGGTTTGCCAAATTTCTGAATAATTCTCATACAGTGGCATCACTTCATGCTAACCACCTGATTTCTCATACACTGTGAAGGACATGGGAATTTTTCTTCATACCCTTATTTTATATTGCCCAGCTACAGCCATTTTTAAAAGGTTAATTTGTAATAACAAAAGATAAGAACATTACAATCAGCTTAGTGATCAAAGGCCATTCACACACTGCAATATTTTGTAATCACATGTGTAAGTTCTGGGCAAAGAACTCTTTATTCCATGTGCTCATAAAACATTTTCTAAATTCATTCAGCTGATGTAACATGGATTATCCATACTAAAGGTAGCAGCATAACGCACATACAAGTGACCAACATATCATAATGTCACATATATTATTATTTTACTAACTAAAAAAATTATTCAAGATAATTTTGATCACCAATCTATCCACAAAAACTGATAAACCCATAAAAATGGGTCCACCAAAGAACCTATGAAACAGAAGTGATTATGGCCTGAAAGGACTCTAATGCAGCCCTGGTTTCAAGCAGGTATAAATAATAGTTCATACACAATTTACAGACAAGTTTATGATCTGTCCATCAAATTTTAAAAGTCAAGCTCCAATGGTCTATAAGCAATCACAGTTGAACTAAAAGCCAAATGAAAATCTTTGCACAACTGCCATGTTGTTGTTTTACAGTCTTCAAAAAATTACCTTCACAAAGATTACATATTTCTTGAAAATCTATAATCATGTACCATCTAATGGCTCAACTGTTGCTCCCACCATACATTTTCATGTGTCTGCCATGTTGTTATAAATGGTATGTGTTTTTGGATATTAAAATGTGTAAAGTTGGGGAACCTCCAATTACATGCAAAAGTTAATGAAAATGAGTCAGTTCCTTCAAAAGTTGAAAGTGGGGCATATGAACAGCCTCCTAGCTTATGGGATTGCCAGGTTGTGCTTTTGCATACCACTACACTAAAATAATCCCTTCAAACCACTAAAAATAACCAAATTCATATAATTTTTGGTATAACCATTCAAAACAGATTTCACATTTTTTGCAATCTGCTCCCAATACACCAGAAATAAAATCCTAAAATCAATTCTGCACAGGCAGTTTTCCAAGATGTTTGATAATGCTATCAGTAGCTCAGATTATATATCACTGAATGATTTAATGAAAAAAGGAATTGTAAAGGACATATAAAAAAGTGATTGTGGCCTAAATTAAAGTATTATTCCAGTATAAGCCTGAAGTGACAGGGAAAAACCATCTGTCAGGCTAGATACTTGAACTGTGGATCTCCTGAATATGAAACAGGAATGTTGACAATACCAAGTCCCATGCTTTTACTTAACTAAATTCAAAGTTACTAGAGAAATATGAACTGTGTATAAAGACAAGCAAAGTTGAGCAAAGGACATGCTTAAACTTCACAAGTACAACTACAGACATCTGTCAGTGAAGTGTTTAATTACATCAAAATATGCCATAACCAACTTGTTATCTGGTGGGACAGAAAAGTATAAATAAGGATAAACTTCAAATATACCTCACGCATACATAAGAAAGTTTTACAAAATTGTGACCATGTATACAAGTCTCTAAATTCAAGTTTACTTGCAGTTACAACAAATGCAATCTACCTAAATCTCCTAATCTGACAGTAATTCAACTTTTATCTAGTTATTAATCCTAATGCATATATATACATAAAATAAATCACAGTACTTACAAAGCCACCTGACTTGCTCTTATCTTGACGGGACATTCCTAGACTCTGGATTGCTGTAGCTCACTAACGTTTCCTTTTCTTCTTTTTCTAATTTCCTCATACATTGTCAGGATCTTCTAGATCCTGAGTAAGTAAACCTGCAGGCAAGTTACAAGATTGTTCTTCAGAAATAAAAGTATAATGACAGAATGATAAAACTAGCCTAACAATTTTCTGTAACAACAATACAAATAATAAACATTAACACCTTGGAAACTCGATTAAATACATGAAAGTGAGGTTAGAAAGAGTTCAATTAAACTTGTCTCCTGATTCAAAACGTTTCATGTATTAACCTCAAACGCCTTACATTAAACAATACAAATTAATACACCATCTTCTATAACTCTTAGCCGGAATGCCCAACAGGATATTTCGGAATGCAAGGTGGGTTTGTCTAGTTGTAAGAAGACTGAATTTAGAATAACTATAAATTTGGACTTCAGCCACCCTGAAATCCGGCTTACGTTATTCAATAGCCAGGATAAACTGTTGGTTGTTTTAATTTTCCACGCAAACACACTTAAACAACATCAAAGCTGATTAATACACGCATTCATCACAATATTCGCAACGATTAATTCAAAGCTGCACCCCGCACCACCCACACAATTACACACAGCGCACACATGGTAAAGTTGGCAAACCTTCTAAATATGGAGGGTTTGAGGTTTTCACGGCGGTGAGTTCAAAGATGACAGTCTTTTGGGTAATTGTGCCTTGTAGTCTGGTCGCTGATGATGGAAGCAGCAAGGACCTATGAATCGTTGGTAACAACCTAGAAGACGGTCATGTTCTAAATATTGATTCGTGTAGCGGCATGATATGACGCGTTTCCTTTGCAATAAAACTTACCATAGATTAAACTTCCATTACAGTTCATTCTTATTCACATAAAGATAGAAATGGTACAACCGTTTGAGGTACAATGTATCAGTTCTTTAGTATTATAAGTAAAATGTGTAACATGCTTGTCAATAGTTCAATCTTCAAGAGGCGCATATGTTCTTAGTAACGTTAACTGTGGAGCAGATGCGGCAATAGCTTAGAAAAAAGTTGTTCTCAAGACTGTGTTTTAGTAAGCTAGTCTCATTCTTGGGCTTAAAGTTGCAGCACGAAATCTCGGCTGCTTTTGACTTTGGCGCAAAAACATAGATCTTTAGGTAAAAGTAACAACTGTATTAATAATAATAAAACATAAGTGAGCATCAAAACAATGAAATTCTTTGGAACAAGAAATGCTCTGTAGTATGATACGTATGTTCAATTTTACAAAGGATCTGGGAAATTATTAAGAAATGTTTGCATCTTGATCAGAAAAACGATTTAATCCTTTCAGGATGACATGGATCTAAATATTTTTAAATGAAACATTTTGGTTCCCACCTCCAACAGGAAATGCCTATAAACAGAGCCTGCATATTCACTTTGTTTTTGAGCACTGAATGCAATAATTATGGCTGGGATGGGAATTATGTCCTATGTTTTTAAGAGATATTCATATACAGATTGAGGAATACCATAATAAACCAACTGATCTCTCAAGACTCAATCTACATGTAACATAACTACAATGCAATCCTTCCATCACACCTTAAGACAACCCCTGCAAAGCCCATATTCAGCACTGAAAAAGCAGGGATGGAAGAATATAAAGTAAATGGCTCCTTGTTGAATAATGAACAGTACTGCCATACAACCTCAGAAGGCCCAACAGGAAGCCTTAAAATGAAGGCTAATGCAGCTCTGGTGAAGTTTGCAGGCCCAGCAAGTAAACAGATGATAGTAACTGGGTACTGGGAACGACCCATTCTTCTAGTGCCTGAGCACTGCGGGCCCCAACTTTTCGTTGGCTCGATCTATAGACATTCGGTAGGACTGCTTGGCCCGTCACAAGGCCTCTACCTATACACAGGACAGCACAACAGAGAGAAATGCAGACAGACATCCATGGCTTGAGTGGGATTCGAATCCACGGTCCCAGCGACCAAGCAGCACAAGGCCCATGCCTCAGACCACGCGGCCACTGCAGACCCTGATGATAGTAACAATGCTTCCAAAACAAAAAGCCTCAGAAAAATTGACTGAGTTATAAGACAACATGGACAATTCCAAAGGTCTGTGAATCAAAACACTAAATGTGGTCAATAACTTTAAATAAAACTGGGTGTACAGATGAAATAATGCATAATTAAACAAAGGAAATTTAATATATTTGAACTTAGTGGAATAATATGGATAGGAAGTTGAAGGAAACAGGGCTGATGACGGAGGCAGTATGACCTCTGAAATATTGGTAAACATCGACCAGACTACACAGCGCAACAACCCAGAAGACAGAAATCTTCATACTCACCGCTGTGAAAATCTCAAATCTTACAAATGCCTTGAGACCCGGAAAACAGTAACACAGTACAATGTATGTATGATATGAAGTTTTCACGACTACTAAGTACAATAAATTCTTCTAGGGCTACCAACCATGTAAGGCGATTTAATGAAGAAAACACCTCACATGTCTGGTAGCCTGAGAAGAATTCATTATACAGTACAATACACTTGGGTACTTACAAAATGAACATGATTACTTACTGATTTCTTTTTATTTATAATGCCTCAGTCCAAAACCTTTCTATTGAGTTCAAATAGTTCTGGTTAACATTTTTAGTACACAGTTCTTTATATTATGGAACATTTATGAAAACAAGTCTTACAAATTTTTATCATTCTGTTTTCATAAGTACATCACAGTACATTTCAAAAAGTAACACATATATGTACTGATGAAAAATTGGTTCTATTCCTCCACAGAACCAAATATGTTAAGATAGAAATTCAAGTCAAAACTTATCATTTTTATTTGAATTGTCCAAACCCAAAGAAAATAAAAGAAGTCTTTGAAAAATTGTAACTTAGAACACAGTGTAGTCCATTTCAATGAAAAAGTTGATACAGAACAAACAAATCAGTTTTATGCAAATAGTACTAAAAATTCTGTACTTCTGTAATAATTCTAACACATCAGAAAAACAGTGATTCTAAATGAACTACCCTGTAACTGTACCACAGACATAACAAACTCTTTATTTAATGTGTCTGAGGATATAATATTGAAGTTCTGACAATGTATGAAGCATCCTGAAAAATCTACGATAAAGCCAAAGTTCTTACTAGTTTGGACATACATGCCAATTAAAATATACACATAAACTTCAAGCTTTAGATGATAAAGACATCTGTTAAAAATAAGGAAATCTGAATAAGAAATGTCATTTCATTGTTTATAATCTATCACAGCTTGAATATAACTGTGCATATCTGAATGATGTATTTAGGCTTTTTCTATGCTGTTATGTAAGACTTTTTAAATTCATTTAAATTGTGAAATTCTGAGGATATATATACATGCCATTTAAGACTTAAATACTGTTATGAAAATATTTAATATGGAATTTTAGAGCAGTACGTACAGCAGTTTACTGGAGAGTGATGGAATAAAATTTAGTTACATTTCTGCCTCTGAGAAAGGTATACTATAAATGTTCTTCTCACAGTACAAGAGTACAATAACAAGATAAGTGAAGATGTTAAATTGTGCAATATGATTTCATACTGTACTTAAGAGCAGCACTTGAAATAAGATATTTATGAATCTGTGATTAATTAAAACAAATGGACCTTCAATTCGGAGATACTTTTACCTTCGCATGCCTTAAATATAAACTAAAAGCAGAATTTTTCTTTTGTATTTCATTTATGTGCTTATGAAATAAATAAAATACATAGTAGTCATTTATATGTTCACTTAAAAGAAGTCCTCTTTTAATTTTCTATATACTGATTAAGAAACTGCATATAAGGCTTGCTCCCTGCTTTGTCACATTTAAATCATAACAGACCACAAAGCTGGAAGGAAAAAAAACCAAATAAAAACATTGGCATAGAACTCCCACTGTTAATTTTAAGCATTCTCATGGATCAAAATAAGTTCCGTTCAAACTAATGCATCACAACACCAACTGCTATTCTACCTCTTTACAGGAACCTTGACATTTGGTACTGCAATATACATTAATAAATGCTTTCTCTAAATATGTAACCTCTTTATTAAAAAATGTATCATTCATAGAAACATAACAAACCAAGCAGGATACAAGTAAATGCTGCAGTAATAATGCTAATATACTCTTTTATGATATCAGAGGTTCCAAGTTTCAAGAAAGCATCTTTATATATTCTGTGTAATGTGTATTGGTGTAGTAACACAACTACATTCTTTCTGAACAGCCACAGTCATTTTCATTTTAAAGATCTAGTACCATAGCAATCAGTAACAGTAACAACCAGATTATCCAATGAGCCAAGAATTGCAACACCACTTATCAGTTCATATCACCACGAACTAATCACACTCTTATGAGTTTGTTTTACTTTCTTTGTTCTCTTCTTCAACTTTCTGATGTCCTGTAAAAACACGTTCTAATACTGCATACTTTTCAATATGTAAGCTACAGTAACGTCCCAAGTGCCGGTTCAACAACGTGGTGTCCATTGGCTCAATAGGTGTGGGAAGAGAATGAAGACATGAAACTAATCCCACCGCTTCCACCAGGGCTGTAATGAACAATGACCACTCTTGGCACTGCTTCTCTTCCAAAGTGGGATATAATGTTTCTCCGCGTTCCATCATTGCAGCCAACGATGAAATTCCAAACTATTTGTAACAATAAAACAATATATGAAAACCTGCAAGTTTCAATACTTTGTATTCAAAATTTAAAGGGAAAAGATATTAGAAAAAACACAGTTTAATATCACTACTTGAAACATCTATCATTCAAGTTTTATTTAAATTATGAAACATATCTCCCTACCAAAAATCCAATTTACTCCATAAAATTATATGGAAGTAAGGACATCCACTTTTTCAACTTAACTTTGTGTGGCACTATAGTGCCAGCACATCCATTTTTTATTGGCTGTGCATCATATTTTGGTAATACTGTAAAATTCCTTGATTTTGAGAGAGCCTGTAGCTGCTGCCTCACTAAAATTTTGGTCAGATAGAGAACTAGCCTGCTGACAAATAACTGACATATGTAATGATTTGTAAGTGTCTATCTATGTGCATGTATTTCTCTCTACTAATTCTGACTTTTAAGACATTTACAAATGTAATTCATGAATTCATGTCTTAAGATTTTCTTCTAAATTTCACATCTCCTAAGTACTAAGTTAATAGCAATGCAAAAAACAAAGACATTACCAAATCCCTTTTTCATAAATTACACTCTGTACAACATATCAAAATATACCATGAGTTAAAAAATAAAAACAACAGAAGTCCTTATATTCATAAATATGTTACATGATTTTTAAAATTTAAAAGCAATTAAAAGGGTCATATGCTGAACAGCATCTCAAGTGAAAAAAGAGGAAAAAGCTGTTTTTCTCTACTGATGTATAGGGAAATGTATAAGCTTTCACTTATTGGTAATGAAAGCCCAGTTACATTATATAATGCCTATGGAATTTCGGTTGGAAAAACATGACACCAGTTATGGCCAACGTAAACATATCACCTTTGGCTAGTTTTAACAATTTAGTTTCAATTGTCATAGCTGCATACTTGTGACAATGGATGTCTTACCACACTTCAATCAAGATCAGTTTGTATTTTGCCTGCTGCACGCATCCAATGACTGGGAAGAAACAATGTGGTAGACTTTCCTTGTGTTGATATTTTGACATTTTTGTGACAAAATACTGACCACCCAGATAAGAATGACAAAACTATACAACACCTTGATAAGATCCAAAAAGCATATCCTAACTTTACTGACCAAAGTCACATACAAGAGAAGAGTAATGTGCTTTTCAAAGGGAGAAATATTTGCAAATATTTTTCCCTTAGTAATAGTGTTTTGGCAACATGTGCAAACTTTGTGAACAGATTGACTGCACTTAAGACATGAAAAATGTGTTGCATACACTTGGTGAAAATAAAAGCACTACAACAAACCTGTGCTGCTTGAAGTGCAGATTAAATCTGTTCAGACCCATATTTTTTTTATTTATTACACACAAAGACTGACCTATAAACCACAAGATTTATCACACCTCACAGAACTTCACTGACACACAAGTAATACATTTAAAATTTTGTGTCATTACAGACCTCTGTCCTAGTGCTTAAAACACAAAATCAATTTACATATAAAATTATTATACTTTTGATTCAACTCTTTTCTTCAACCCGGTTTCCACTGGTAACCACTTTCATGACTATAGTGCTGAAACTCAGAAGATAATCTGAACTTATACCACTGTGAAAACCTCAGATCACATCTAACATATTATTTTCTTGAGCTTAGTATTGGGCTTCATCCATGTTTTATGTACAAAAATTTAACAACCACACAAATGTTAAATATTGACTTAGTGTTGAAGGGAAATTTTTTTATGTTCCAACTTTCTTGTGACAAGATTTAGCAATTCCTTTTATTTGTCTCTACCTGTGACCTGTCTTTATGTGTCGTTGTGTCACTGGGAGATGCTCAATGTGTGCTCTATGCGCTGATAGTAAACGTCATGTTCTCATAAACTTCAGTTTACAGTTTTGCAGAAAATGCTGAATAACAACAAATGGCCATGACAATGCAAATAAACCAACTGTGGCAAAACTTACGTCTATTCTTGGAAAATTTTCATCTCAGTTTAAAAAAACCATGTTTCAAAAGCTGGTTCTGCTTCCATCATCAAATGAACAACCAAATCAGTTGGGTCCAATATAGGAGGTAGATCTCAATCCCTTGAAAGTTGAAATTATCCAGGGACTAAATAAATTAACCCCAAGGTGAAGATTCCTATTTAGAAGCTAACACTATGCTCAGCTTGTCAACAGATTCCCTGCCCTTTGTGGAACCCAAACGTTCACTGCTGCGTTCACAAGAACCAGCAACCAGTCCCTATCCTGAGCTAGATTAATCAAATTCACATCCTCAAACCCTTCTTAACCAAGATTCATTTTAATATTATTCTTCCATCAATGCCCACGTCTTCCGACAGGTCTCTTCCCTTAAGGCTTTCCAACCAAAATTTTGTATAAATTTCTCACCTCCACTACATGCCCAGCCCCTCTCAACCTTTTGATTTGATCATCCTAATAATATTTGCTAAGGAATACAAATTATGGAACCCCTCATTATGCAAGTTTCTTCAGCCTGCTTAGGACCAAATATTCTCCAAAGCACCCTGTTTCCACACTCTCAATGTCAGAGCCAAAGTTCCATACCCATACAAAACAACAGGTAATTATAGTTTTGTACGTCTTAATCTGTTTACTTTTAGACAGCAGTAGTCTGGACAAAAATTTTCGAACTGCATGGCAGAAAGAATTACCCAAATTCTGCCAGTTTTTAGTTTCTTCGTAAATGTAACTTTGAAGGAAAGAAAATATGTATGTAAAGGATATTATTACCTTGTTGCCTAATGCATACATAAGCACATTCTTGGCAGGCAGTACACATGTAACTGGAGATGTGATTCTAGATGAATCTCTTGACCCTGGTAGTAAACTATGTGCTATCTCCAGCAGGGCAGGGAACTGGCTTCTATTCAGCCATGCCTTCAAATATGGGTAGAAACGAGGAAGCACGGATTCATCACTGGCTTGGTCCCGTTTTCCAATGGTTACTAGCCCACGGAATATTATTCTCCACATCTGAACCAAGCAGCGTCCCTCTTCTTCGCTGAGTGTCGTAAGATGTGGCAGCAATCTTAACATCAGAAGCTTCAGAGACACCAAGCAAATATTATATCATTATTCTCAATAGATTTCATGCTATAATTTGAGGTAAGAAAGATAAACTGATACATTTCTAATTCTGGAATATAAAGAGAGAGAAAAATAAACAAAAATACATGTATACCTGGCAGAAAAGTTCTATCCACAATGCACTACATGTTTTTATCTGTTTCACTTAAATTGCTGAAGCAGAACAAACAAGTATTCTGACCTACAGAAAGGTTTGACATGTTAATACCAGTGTACCTTTTACAATATTGGTAATGGCAACTGAAACAAGACAGAATCAGACTTTCATGAGTCAGATACATTTCATTTTCAAGGTTTGATCAAAAAGTTTGGTAAATGATGCCACCACAAGAGGATTTGTGAAAATGGGAAAGCTGGCAGGTGGCACATGTGACAGAAGCCTTTATGCATGTGCTGAAGGATTTTCCACTGGCAAGTGCTGTCAGTTGCAATGTAAGGCTGATCTCTGTGAGCACATGTTTGTGTAATCAGTCAACTCTCCTCACCTGTCACCATGTGGCTTATAACTGTTCCCCATATTCAAAGAAACAATGAAAAGGAAGCATGAGACAACAGAGTCCAATTTCAAAACAAAACACGCTGTCTGCAGGTGATTCCGAAAGACTTCCAGAAATATACACAATAGTGGCAGAATACTGAAATAAGTGTGCGTCGGATGTGAGTACTCTGAAGGAAATTGATGGCAAAACAGGTATCCATTCATCAAATTTTCTGATTGAGCTTTGTTCATTCTTTGGATGAAATGAATGGATTATACCAAGTTAAATTCACATCTTCACATAATCTCTCAAAATAATAAATTTATTTTGATGAAATGTTATTAGGGGTCCACAAAAATAGCTGTTAGGCAAGCTTGACCTTTATCGTTCATGAATCACAACTTATTCCCAGTCCAGCTGGCCTTGTATCAGAGAAGCTTATACCAAAACTGTTACAACCCAGAGTTATAAAGACCAGATGGAAGGCACATAATAAGGGAATTTGTGACAAAGGTAAATTTGAGTTTGCTTCAATCCAATACAATCCTTACTTTACATAATGTCCAAATGAAACTTCATTCATTTTCTCAAGGGTTGTTCAATGTACAAAAAAGTTGGCAAATGATAAAATGCAGACCTCTGCAGTCTGAGTAGCTTTGTAATAAGAGTTTTACATATGTAATACATGATCATCAAAGCCAATGAGAGGCATAAAAGAACACATTTTGAACATGTATAGGTACTTAAAACTGGAGAACACTTTTCCATTCCTTTTCTATATTTGAAAAAGAATGAGTATCTCATGCTCATAATTTTAACAAAATATACTCATATACCCAAAAAGAATTGTGTTTTGCATTCTCAGTGCCATACATGATAGGAAAATTGTATTTATCTGAAGAAAACCAAAACCTTAAAATAATGAGATAAAATAATGGAAATTTCTGCCTTATCCTGTAGTAGTTACTGCTCAAGACAATAATTTGTAGATTAAAATTTTGTATTAGTGTAATTCAGAAGTATTATAATGATAATTATAAACAGTAAAGAATTATTAAAAGAAGTGAAACACATATAATAGTGAAAAATATGTGGGTTTACAAATTATGAAAAAACATAAAAATATATCCTAGTTTTCAAAACATAAAACACAGCCTTCAGGAGCTTATTAAATCAATCATACTATAAGATGTAACAGCGTCGTAACTATATATCATTTTTCACAGGTGTCAATACAATATTCTCTTTGGCATGACCAAGGAGACTGGATTTTGTTGGGCCAGGACAGAATCTGGTGGAGGGTTTGGTTAATTCGGTGATGAACCTTCGGGTTCAGTAAGCCATCTAGTTAGTTAGTTAGTACAATATTTCAAATGACTGGAATTGCTGGAAATGACTTCCTTTTACTGTAATGGGGTTAAATCTAAAAACAGCAAACTGAAGACAATTACAAACACTGACAGTATCTACCCAGAAACAACCAGTAGCTGCTCTTCCATGTGCATTCAAGGTCAACAACACACCTTCATAATTGTGGGAAAGTTTCAGAGATGCATGCAAGTGCCAATGGCAAACACTGTGGACTTTTACAAGAAAGACGCTGTATAACAATTCTGAATTATTCATATTTTAGTACTTGCAGGGCTGGAATATAGCTTCAAATTAAAAAAAATAACTGTAGTTTAAGTTAACCACATTAAAAAACATAAAAAATCATATATTTATGGTCAGGGAATGACACTTACCTTGAATTAAAAAGTACTTTGAATCAACCAATACTGAAGTAAAGAGATTTTACTGCTCACATTTCATGCATCTGCAATACTGAAGTAAAGAGATTTTACTGCTTACATTTCATGCATCTGCCATGTTATTTTACATTCTACAAATAATTACTGCCTAAAAAGTTGCACACTTTTCAAATATCTGTTACCATACATTATTTCAGGACCCTATACTGCAAAGAACATCAGAAGTTCATGCAACTGCCATGTCAGTATTGCCAATTGCAGGAAACTAAACTATATGAGTTTATGGTAGCTTCAAATGGCATTAACATCCATAACAAATGTCCAGCAGTTCTCAAGTTGTAACATGAGGGCAGACAGACAGACAGACACAGACAAACACGATCAGCACTATATGTACTAATTTCACACATAGAATGCATAATAACAGCCTGGTGATAGAACACAAAGGCTCAACACTGTTAACGCCAACCAAAGAAATTCATTACCAATAAGAACATCATACGTATTATACCACATAAGGCACCATAACTCAGTAAAAGTATACGGTAATATGTGCTGTCATATTAAGATACATTACCTTTCCCTTGTGGACACACATGAAACTAGTCAATCGGTCTTCCACAAGCAATGAAGAGATAATTTTGTGCAGCAGATCCTCCTTGTCTTCAGCCACTGATTCCTTTGCTTCAGGCAATGAACTTGTCAAATCCTCAACTTGCAGGAGGAATAGGTATAACTGTGGCAACACAAAGACAAAACACCTCTGCAAAATATTCACAGGCATTTTTTATTTTCTGATTTCACTAAAAGAATATGTGCAAGAACAGGATCAACATTAGGTGGGAAATGAATTTGGTATTTCGTACAGCTTTAAATAGGCAGAGATACTGAAACTCTTACGAAAACATCTACAGTGGAAACCACTGAAAACATTTTTCTGCTGCTTTTGAAAGAATCAATCTCATGTAATTGACTTCACTTCTCTTCTTAAACATATTCCCACTTCCCAAAGGTTTCTAGCCACTGCTGGAACATCAGGAACAGCCAACATAATTTAATGATTTACACAGCCATGCATTTTTTAACAGAATTTAAGACTGCTGCAATACATTTTTATAAGCACAAATGGATTTTGCTTTCCTGTACCACGTTTGTAA